AGCGCTGTGTTAAGAAGATAGGCATAGCAAGGGAAAAGCAGTAATAATTCTCAACCCTTTTCATTGTTTTGTTTTACTACATATAAAATAGTGTCAAATTTTGCTGTAAATGGATTAAGGTTAATTGTCTTAGTTTAGGAGCTGTTCTCAGCTGGTAAGAACTCAGGGAGTGCGTTCAGTCTATTGTCAGTATTTTTATGAGTACTTTATCTTCATAGACTTCCATTAAAATAATCATTAATACATCTTGTTGGGCTAAAGCAGGCCTAGAGGAAACATAATAATAATGCTAATAATAAGTCTTGATCATTTTCTAAAAATCAAACAGGTTGCAACTTTTAAAATAAAAGCTAGGCTACAAAATTCATTGTCTTTAATATTGGATGATTGTATAAGCCCTGCAATGGGTAGACAAGTATCATTCAGTATAATAGAAGTTTAGCATAGTAGTAGATTACCAGGTTGGTGAAAGCCCATAGGAGCCTTGCATATATCCCAAGACAGATTTTTGTTCTTCTTTAAAAGACATAAATATAATGTGGAAAACTGATCTTACAGGTTGAATAGTCACTGAAACATCTCTTGTAATAACAGCTAATAACAGGTTAGTAACTTGGCCTCTAGACTCATCTATTACACATTGAGAACTAGTTCACTTAACTTGTTTTACTGGCTTTTGGGAATTCATTGTGAACTGCTCACTTTTAAGATGGTAACTGGATATTTTTTCAGCATGAATACACATGGACAACAAAACTGGGGGGAAAAAAAGACTTGTATTTGCCTTCTTGGACTATGTTTTGCAAATTCTCAGAATTTGCCCATCTAGTCACCAAGAAAAAATGGATGTATGGTGCAGTTTGCAATATTTTCTGTTCATCAAAGATTTCATCACAGGTAGAATTCCTTTTGCAAGTCACCAGAGACACAGTGTGGTGATTGATTGGCACAGAGTATAATTAAGATATCATTATAGTAAGCCGTGTTGCCAATGCAGTCATTGAAGCAAAACGTTTTATCTTTTGAAAAAAGTTTTGTTTGATGGTATGTTGCTTTTATAGTCAGCAGTTGGAAACAGGCTGCAGGAATACTGATGGGAGAACAGACAATGTGTTCATCTGACAGTTCAAAATAACCTATCGCCTTTCCAGTACAGTACATCAGCCCATGGTGCAGGTAGTTTTCATACAGGTAGATCTGGTACTATTGCTGTTTACAGTAGGAGCATTTTAAAACTCAGAGTGTACTCTTACAATGCCGCTTCTACTGACATCGGTGGGGTTTGCGTGTGGTGGTGCGATATAAGAGTAGTTCTGTTACACTAACATATTTAAAGATTTTCAGTATTCTAATCACGGTAAGTTTTTCAATACTGTATCTTGTGAGAGTCTGCCAAGTTTAACAAGCAATGTTTGCCGTTTCAGCTGGTTTGGTTCTGAGTATACATGCACAGGCACAAAAATAATATAAAATCAGTACCATTCCACTGAGGATAGTTAAAGATCTAATACCTTGATTTTAATATTTTTCATCATTACAGTACAAATCCTGATGTGCAAGCCATCTTTCATCCCCTTTTCTTTTCTAGAGAGAGCAAATTGCTGATTTTGACAGGCTAGCACTGAAAGGAGAAGTCAGAAAACCCGTTTGATGCACTTTGTGGAAAGAAACCATTGCAAACCCATTACAATTGTTACTGGTTTTCATACTAATAATATGTAAACCTACAATTTACCAACTAGCTCTTTCTGGCTGTTAGCTGTGCTTGATCTAGCTAATGGCCATAAATCTCATCCTAGCTATGTCTTCTTGGCTGGCAAGTTTGCTGAGAACCTCCTTTATTTGTCTCTGGAGCACTGTGAGGAATTTCTTCTCAGCAGCCCAAACTTTGCAGTGTTGCTCACATGAGACCCAGTGACTGATTGCATTGCATTAACTCTTTTTGTTTGTCTCACTTCTCCGAACATCCCCCCCCGAAGTAGCTCTGGGTGATGGTACTTCTCTCATAAGCCCCTTAGTTGCTCAGTGACCAAAATTGGATGAAATGCGTCCATGGTGATTCTGACCCAAAAGAGTATTCTGAAATCTAAAAACTGTAAGCACAGATGAACTACTGGTTTGCTAGTGTAAGCGGTGTGAGGATTTTAGGGAGAAATAATGTTGCCTGTTTAGCCAACTGGTACGGTTGGGAGAAGCAGAGGTTTTTGATTTTTGTGCCTGAAAGTTTCTCAGTTTTTCCAGCTGTATCATCTAGCCTAATCAAAGATATTATCTCTCCCTACAGCAGTCTCCCTTATATTCATAAACCTTTATAGTTACACCAATAACACAGTGCCAACACAGACTGGAATGGCCTGTGTATTAGTTACTAGTCTGTTAAAAACTAGTTTGGAAAGACATTGTTGAGCAAATTTGACAGTTTGACAAATTGAGAAAATTACCTGCTGTGGCGGAGGAGTGGACTACATGATCTCCAGAGGTCCTTTCCATCCCTGACCATTCAGTGATTCTGTGATTCTGTGAAATTTTGAAATAATTTCTGTTACCTCCATCATCCCTGCATGTATTTCAAAGATGTGTAGGCATGGCATTTGGGGACATGGTTTAGTGGTGGACTTGGTGGTGTTAGATTAACAGTTGGAGTCAATGGTCTTAAGGGTCTTTTCCAACCTGAACGATTCTATGATTCTATGAAATATGCATAGGTAACGTTTGGTAGTTCTGTTGCACAAGAACATCTTTGTACTTTGTGTTCCAAGAAAAGAATAATCTGGGAAAAAAAGGAACCTATCTACCATAATGACAATATTTAACTGGTAAGTTTAAAAAGAGCTAGCAATCGCTGCAGTGTAGACTGGGGAAAAGAAGAGATTCATCTCCATCCTATGATGTGGAGCACATACTTTGCCACAGGAGTTGAGTCCAAAAAGGACACTAGGACATTGGAGTTCACTGTTGTTAAAACCACCTCTGGGGTCTAAAGATGTTTTTAAGAAAAGTGCATATATTGTTGATTTTCTCATTGTGCACCAAGGAAAGTAATGAAAGTCACCTTCTCTTATTCTAATCCTCTTAAGATATTAGAGTTTGGTCTGTAGATTTCTTGTAACCGGTGTCATCATGGGATCCTGTGGTTGATACAAGCAGACAAGTACTGCCTACTACTAATAGAAATTAATATGCTAGAAAAATAGGCTTCGGGTTTCCCTGGTCAGCCAGAGCACTGGTTAACGCTGGTTTTGTAGAATGCCCTAAATATGTGTCTGTCTGAAGACGAGTCACTCCCATCTTGCACCAAGGTTGGCTTTTTAAGTCTAAAATATGATTTTTTATGTTTACGAAAGCCCATTAAGATGTGTTGAAAATCTGACAATCAAGATGATATCGTTAAAATACTGGGTTTATCTTAATATTCAGTAGGGTATGATTCACTACCTGGATGAGTTTTTCTTTTGCCAAATAAATCCATGTTTTTGTTCCTTTGCCAGAATAAATCCTTTGAGCCTTTATCAAAGTGAAAGGGTAATAACCTGCTAAACGGTATGAAAGAATTAGGTGATAAAGTATTACAGTAAAGAATGAATTTAATAAATACACAGTTCTCAAATTATGCCTTGATTTTGAAGTGAATGCAGAGACCTTACCCAACAGTGATTTGATAATTGTTGTAAAGTATTAACACATTTCCTTTATTTCAAAATCTCTACGTGAAGTATGTTTTTAAATTATGCATTTTAAAATTCAGCAAAAGATCAAACATCAAAATTAACTATGCTGACTAAAAGCATATATTCTGTAATGTGAAACAGACTGTGAGTAATAAGAACTAGAAGGAATAGGAATAGGACCTCTACCCACCAAAGTACAGATAACTTATTTACCTTGTAAGCTCTCAACAGCTGGAAGAAATAAAGTTATCTAAATACTACCCAAAGTGGCTGGAAACAATAAGCGCCGCTACAAATACATGTATGTTTAAATAGTGGGGAGTTTTAAATTATCACAAAATGTTTGCATAAAATATGCGTGTCTCTGATATTTTTATTTTAGCCGTCGACAGGAATTTTGATATAGTTATACAAGTCGTGTCTTTCACAGAGAATTGTATTATGCAGTCTGTTTACAGTTTTTATACTTAATGCAAAGCAATTATAACGATACTGTAGGGCATGGGGAAGACAATGGAAAACACTGAAAAAGCATGTTAAGAATGAAAAGGTATTATACGAAATTTAGTCTAAAACATAGCTTGAATGAGCTCTGACAGAGTTGATATGGCTGGTTGTTTCCTGTGCCAGGAACTACCGTGGAACCCCACCAGGAAGTGTGCTACAGAGCAGGATCACATTACACCCTTGTTTTATGGTTCATTTCACTTATTTAATGCAATTTGAGAACCTGCAAAAAAAGACCACTCTAAAAGGGGGATGTTTATTATTTGAAAATATGTCATTTCTTTGATTCAAGTAAGTTGGGTTTTGGGGACACCTAATGTGCCTCATGTAAGGCAAGGCAAATCAGTACCACCATGCAGCAGGTTGTATGCAAGAGCAAAATGTTTTCATATTAATGAAATGTAGAGAATGACGCAGATAGTTTATCTCTGTACACTTTTGGCTGTCTGCTTTAGTAAACCAAGTGTGCTACAGCGATACAACAACAATGAAAAGCATAGTAGTTTTCCTTTACTACTCCAAGTAAATTTTAATACAGTACAGTGGTTTATTAAAATTATGTAGACTAAAAGGGTTGTTTAGTGTTCCAGCTGATTTATAGAGCGTGATAAAACATTCCAAAATCTCTGGAAGCAAGGAACATGCTACAGCCTGTATTTGGTTTGACAAAGCTGTGTTCATACGAAAGAAGACTGTTCAACGTGCTAACTAGATAATGATTCATCAATTCTGGCAGAGGAACTAATTTTTGTTAATGTAGTACTTCAAAATGTGTGGAATGAACAGCTGGATACCACAGTTGTGGCATGCCATATTAAGTCTCTGTCTGTTTTCCCCTACAGTGATCTCAGTATGAACAACATTACTAAGCTGCCCTCAAACCCCGTGCACAATCTCCGCTTCCTGGAAGAGCTGTAAGTATCATTGTATCCTTGATGGGCATAGTCAGCACTAGACACATTCCTGTGTTTGTCTCTCATACTTACTGTGGGAACCAGATAAAACGGTGCAGGAAAGCTGTCAGCCTGACACTTCTGGCACATGCGGAAACACTTAGTTGAAAAAAACCCAATTGCTCGTGATTCTGGAAATGAACTTATAAAAGAGTTACCATGAGGCTACAACTTCTCTAAGCAGAGACAGAGCCAAACAAATTAAAATTTTTAAACAAGGGCTGTTTAAAAGAGCTGGATTGCTTTTTGGAAATAGTTAAGCAGCAGGATATTAAAAGTTTGAATACTGTCTCATGTTTATTAAAATCGCAAGTAAAGCTATAATCAAAACCAAAACCTGCTGCCTCGTTCTGCCTGTGTCAAGGACAATTGAGCCCACATTTCATAGTATCAAGGCTTCTTGTCCTAATCACTTTTAATTACTGTTTCCTTACTCTAAAATTTAGCATCCCTGAAGGCTGACTGTAAAATGCAGAATCCTGCAAAAAGCTTAGTTACGCTATCTAGTACGTTCACTGAGGGGAAAAAGTACACTGCGAAAACTAGCTAATCAAGCACAACATCAAAAGAGGAATGCTGGTTTGAAGTGATGGTGACTAACCAAAAGTGAAAAGTATTGTGCATTCATGAGACCTGGATTTGGCAGTGACCCTAATTATAATGGCCCAGGCTTAAAAGAAAATTTAAGTTCCCGAGGAGTGATGGAGATTCTGTAACTGATGCACCATGGATCTTGTGGGAAAAATCTGGCACCTGCATTTACATCAGTACCTCTAAAAGTTGATTAAAAGAATTGTCTAGGCATCCAGCCTCTTATGAAACATGGTTTATAAGCTTTTAAAAGTGAAAGCCTCCTTTTTTTATAGCAAGTTTAGCTGCTAACACACCATAAAACCCACGTAAGATATGCAAAGTCATGGTGCTGCCCTTCTTGCAAAGACACAGTCTATTTTAGGCTATGAAATGTGTACAGTCTTTTGCAATTTAGGTGGGTATTGCACTGACAACTTTGTCCTTGCTAACGCTCATTTGAATTTTATCACTTGGTCTTTCCAGCTGGCATCTATGAAAAGAAAAGAAATTAAAACAATTTTGGTAACACTAACTTTGAACAATACCCTGTTTGCAAGCAGATTTTCCTTTCATGTCTTATTTTTATTACCGGCAGTGTTTGTATTTAGAAAGTATTATTTCTTTTAATTCTCTTCCCTTACTTACTTCTTTTCTTTGGTTATCATGATCTGTATTGCTGTTGGTACAACTTTCAAACAACGTGCAGATATGGACATAACAAAGGAGAGATGTCACACACCAATTGTTAACAGTATCAAGTGCGTATGAAGTGAATCATGCCACAAAGACCCTGCTTGTGGATTTTTGCATCATGTTCATGTTTGCTTGTCCAATCTCCTGTCAACTGTAATAACCCTACTAAAAGCTTCCAACCCAATGACTTCTCTCCAGCCATTAAAGAAAACAAGAAAAACAAAAGTTTGGGCTTTTCATGGAAGGAAATTCTAATGCATTAAGCCAAGTTGCCTTCACTCCTTCATTGTACGGTCCAAAGTTAGATGACCCAAATAGTGAGATTTGGTGTCGCTGCTTGAGAAACTGTTCAGTAGTTTACTTCATCTTCCTGATCATGACCTTTGAAAATGTTCTGACCTTATTCTTGTGGTGGGCCTACTTTTCCACCGGAAATATTAAACTATTATCCTTATAACCTCTGTTCCAAATTAAGTAATTCCAGTCCTTCATTGCTGAATAATATTTATTTATTTATTATGTTTTGATTTACATACAGTCAGTCAGCTCCTCCATTTATTTCACACAAGCCAATCATTTCCATTTCTCATTGATTCTGATGCTGTTTTGTGAAACCCTTCTAGTCTGTATTCACTTTTCGAATAAACATAGAAAACTGAAGCCTTTGAAGAGGTGAGGCAACTGATTACCTCTTCTTAGTACAGATTCAAACCCATTGTACTGAGAAACTCTTTGGTGTTCACGGGCATGTATTACTCTTCAGTCTAGTATTACGTAGAAAAAGTATAGACAATGGAAAGGGAACTGGCTATTCAGTTTTGAAGTAAGGAGTAACAGCCATTGTAGTTCCCATGCTCCTCTTATGCTCATTTCTGAGCAGTGATTGTACATTTGAAAATTTTTTGCCTGTCCAGGCATTGCCCCATGATTTTTATTCCCAGCTTACCTGGGAATTCTGTGCTTTGTTTATGTGGCTCAGTTAAAGGGGACTATTGCAAGATATAACTTGGCCTATAATACAGACATTGTAAAAATAAGGTTTTATGAGATCTTTAGACCAAAGCAATGTTTCTATGAAATTAAAATGCATCTTAGACATGTCTGTCTGCTCTTTGAAATACAACAGCAAGAGCTTAAAATGCATTTTTTAGGGTTTTTTAGTCTTGAAAAAAGTGTTACTAATCCCTTTATTAGAAGTCTGGTTCAAAAATCTGATAAAAGCTAACAGTTGATCCTCTTGAGTTTTAGCTTAGATGTTACGTCCTAGATGCGTGGTTTGGCAATACTGGTAAGTCATTACCCCAAAAGAACTGAGAATTTATTAAGACAGTTAAACCAATTGTTTTGACTCCAAAGCAAGGATGTATAAGCCAGGTCTGTTCAGCCAGTTCTGACCTTCCAGGCTGAATCTGATCCACTCTTCCAGCCAAGGTTAGACACCTCTGCAAGCAGCATTCTTGCAATCCCGATGATCATGCCTGGTATTTATCCTTAACCAAAGACTTTGATCACTGAAGTACAACATATTGAAACTATGCTGTATTTTGAGGTGCATGTTCCTCTAAAAGTTTTGGAAAACATTGTGGTACTTTGAGAACTGAACTGTTCTAGCTCCTAAAAAGTTTAGTTTTGAGCAAGATCTTTTATGTGTGAAAATGATGGGCCTTTCAGGCCTAATTTTCTCTTAAAGTGCGTATGATGGAACTCCCACCAAGAAAGAAATATGCTTTGGTTGCTTGATTATCAGCAAGTTGCTCTGCATGAACTTGTACAACACCATTAAGTAAAATTATTCATTATAAATTCAAAATAACTGCAGATATTTATCAGTATGACCGAGTCCAAGACTCGATCTCATGTAGAGTATTTCTATACATATGTCATTCTACAATGTGTACAGTGCCCATATTAATAGAGCAGTAACTTAGAGTAGTGCATTAAAAAAAGATTTTTTTAAAAAGTGTATAAGAATTACCCAGGGTGTGACTCGTAAGAGTTTAAGAGGCAACTACAACCGAGTGTAGACATAGCATTTTGTGATTACTAACACTTCAAAGCAGTGCCTGAAACTGTTTTATTTTATAAATTAATGTCTCTATGAAGAGTGAGGAAGAAAGCCAATAATAATTTAAAACTATTTGAATCAGACCTAACTACAAATATCTTCAACTAGATATATCTTCACACATACATACATACATATGTATATGCATAAATATATGCACACACACCCATGCATGCACATATATAAGGCTTTTATTTTAATTTTAAACACGGGAACATTCCCCAGATAAGCAAAACTCCAAGTGATTTTTAGTACATTGCTATTTTTCAGGAACTTAAATTGCTGTTTTAGTAAAACAGCAACAAAGGACTGGTTCATTACAATTATTTTATCTAAAGAGTAAGACAGTTCAAAATAACTTGCATTTCACAAAATCAAGCATTAATTAATTAATTGCAATGCATATACAGGTGCAAGAAAGCTTACTGATGCCTGTGTTATTTCTTAAAATAACCTTGAAGGGAATTAAATATATGTACAAAGTTTTTCAGATTGACCACGGTATTATTACAGCGGTTATTCAGGCAGAAGTGCCTTTAAAAGTGCATCTTACTACAATACTGAAGTGCAGAGTTACAGATACAATACAAAACAGACGGATTATGTGAATCTCACCACGATTTGTGTGGAAATCCCTTTGCACTGCAGAAGTGGTCAAGAGGCCACTGTATACATGAAAATGAAGTCCTAAATTACCAGGCACAATCCGCTACCATCTGTTCTTATTTATTGTTTTCCCTTTACTTCTCTCTCTGCTCTTTTTTCCTACAAAGAGGTTTTCAAAGCTGTTAATGGGAATTAGGTGTTCTTTTCCCCACTGACTTTGAGCAGTGGGACTGAGCTCTCTGGTCATTTACATCTTTGAAAACTGAGAGCATTAGCTCCTGGGGTCTTGCACAGTCTTTATTTTTGTGCTGGTGCAGGCGCATAGTGGCTAGCACTGAAAATGGATTCTGTGCTTTTTACTATTGTGTAAGCTAGTAGAAAACATAAAAGTGCTGCAGCCATAGTCCAAAACCTTTTGGAGAAAGTGAGGGAATCTTGTAATTTACTTTAGCAGTCTTTAGGTGGGATACTTAAATACTAAAATCTTTCCCAAAGATTAATCTGCATAGATTTAAAAACCTCCAAGGCAAAAAAGTAAAAATACCTGCAACTGACACCCACAACAAAAGTAAAAACAGAGTATCATCTAGTGGTCTCAAATTGTCCACACATGCTTCTTTCCGATGTCACTTAAATACCAGTTTCACAGTTCTTGCACAGCAGGTTTTAGTGGAGGTGTTCCTGGTGGAAATTGGCTTATGCCACCTCCATAGCTAAAGTTTCAAGAACTTCCACTGCTAAATGATTTATGATCCCGTTGGTAACTTCAGAGCTATGCACAGTCTAACACATAAGTTGTGAATTCAGTTTCTTCACATGAATTGTGAATTTGGTTTCTTCACTTCATACATGCATAGATATAGAGGCGATCTGTTCAGACTATGCCACTGTGTTCGATACGTGGGTTTTGTCAGTGAGAGGTACCTGTCACCAGCCAGCCAAGTGGCCCGTGGCACATTGTAAATTCTGTTGCCGTAAGACAGACCTTGTTGATAACTCAGGGCTGTGACTCCCCAACTTTGCT